ATGTGAATTAATAAATGTATATATGTTAAATTTTAGTCCATAATGTAATTGACACTTGTTTTATTAACTAGCTTGACGTCCACAAATTCTTTCTTCTGTAAGTACTTGCATAATTATAATAATTTACTTTATTATGAATTAAAGTATCTTATGGACAATTGTGTGTTAATGTGAATTAATAAATGTATATATGTTAAATTTTAGTCCATAATGTAATTGACACTTGTTTTATTAACTAGCTTGACGTCCACCAAATTCTTTTTTTTTTGTAAGTACTTTGATTAGCCCATTAGGTCAAATAACCTCTCTAACATATTTTGTAGAGCCCAATAGACCCACCATAAAGTTATCTCATTATGTTTTGAAAAACACTTATATGTGTTGTGGGGGGATATATATATGTGTGTGTGTGTGTGTGTGTTGTGGGGGCATTGGAAGTGAGTGGCTATTTTGGGTGTGTATGGAGAGGTTAAGTGAGAAGATAGAGTCATCACTCTCAAGCTCGTTCTATCGACGAGTTTCAACGGCTTAACATCGATAACAACACTTTTGAAATGTAACTCACGAACTTTTTATTTTATCACATGTCTTAAACACAAAATAGGTGTGATTTATTTTCAACGACACATAAAATGACTCCTTTTCAAAATGCTTTACATGTAGATTAAACGTTTTTTTTTTTTTTTGGTTATGAACGTCGTCATATCTACATTTTCTACTAGTATCAATTTTTATGATTTACTGATTAGAAATCCAATTTCTTGTATGTCGTTTTTTTTTTTTTTTTGATTGAGAATTAGCTCGTGATGCTAAATAACTAGAAGCTAGGCAGACAACAAAATATTCCCTTTGAACTTTTACCAACCTTAGAGGATCAGCATTATTGAGGAGTAAACATGGACTTGTCAGGAATCCAACTAAAAACGACATGATCGATTATGTTTACTAGAAAGTAGAAACTTAAAATTGCTCACCATAAATACATTATAAAGGTCAATAGAAGAGTTGTTGTCCTATTAAAAATTTAAACCACAAAATTACTCGCATGTCACCTATTAAAAAAAATGGCAATCACAAACGACAATTTAATTCTATTTATATATTAATTCTTTATACGGCTAATGGGGGGAAAAGAGATCTTTTTTTTTTTTTTTTTTTTTTTTTGGCCTTTTATCTGCATTTCTTTCTGTTTCTTTTTTCTTTTTTTCTTTTTTTTTTTGTTGTTTTGCTTTTTGATAATATTTGCTTTGCTACCATACATCTTTCTTCAAAGATAAAGTGAAATTGAGGAAAAATTGTCACAAGTGAGTGAAATTTATAAGGAAATTAAACCTGCTTCTTGTTGTTAGCCACGTAACTACGTTGCACTTAATTAATTAGTTGCTTGGCCTTTACGGTTTTAATGATTCTTCAATATGGTATATCTCCTTTACTTTAAATGATAATGAGCTTTTTTTTTTGTCTGATGATGAGCTGCGAATTAATTTGGGAGTTTCAGTGTGTGTGTATATATACATATATAAATATCTGTTTTATTAAATCCTTTCTTAATTTATTCTATAGGATCAATTCGGATTCCATTTGTTTATATATAGCCCTAAATTATAGTCCATCTTAAGGAATTCCTAAGATAAGAGGTAATATGATCTAGTTCATTTAATTTTTGGCACAAGTATGGCTTTATTTTATATCTTTTTGTACTTATGTTTTTGAAAATGTTAAATTAGTATCTAAATGTTTTAAAAAAAATCAGTTTTTGGTACATTGAGACCTTTCTTTAAATTTGGGTCAACTAAATTATAAATTATTAAAAAGAATAATTTTGACATTTTATGTCCTTAAAAAGGGCCTTAGGATACCGAAAAACGGTATTTTAAAGTTAGAGGTACCAAATTAAAATCATAAAAAAAACGTGGTACTTAAAGACGATTCCACTATAACACCTAGGACCAAATTGAAATTACCCCTAATTAGAAGAATTCTCGATAATAGTGTTAGGAATACGAAAACTTCTGAATTTGAGTGTTAAAATTGTGAATAGAATGATGGACTTGTGAATTTTTGAAATATTTCCAACGTTATTATAATGAATTTACGAAATTAAACATTGAAATTGCGAAATGGATTAATATACTTGTGAACCGGCATGAATTAGGCTGAGTTTCGACACTATAGAAGGACCCTTTTATAAGTTATTAATAGCTTTCCCTTCATTCAAGTTTATTAATTGGAATTATCAATCTTGCGTATTAGTTGCAAATTAAGCAATTTCCAACTTCTAAGGAAAAGCCATACATTTCGTGTAATTGGGTCCACATTTCATCATTTCCCTTTCCATAGGCCTATAGGCAGATTCCATTCTTTCACATATCCACCTATGTGATAACGATACTTAACTACCAGGGTGTATAAAAACGACATATATTATAATTATATATATATATATTTGTGTATGTATAATTGCATATATATATATATATATGTATGAAAAAAAGATCACTTCTCTCTCTCACTCTCACACACATATAACTCAAACACATTGTGCTTTCTGTTTGGTCGATTTTACCTTTTTTTTTTTTTTTTTTTTTTTTTTCTGAAGGATTCTCTAGGGGAAAAATCACTCTCAACAGATTCTCTCACACACACAGATGTTTTTCAAAGGCCAAGCAGACCCAAAAGGAGGAAAATTGTGTAGGCCTATCATTAGCTATAGCATCTCCATGACTTTTTAGCCCCTTATTATTGATTGGATGAATAAAAAGAGATGCCCCACTTCCTCCATTGTTTGATCTTTCAAGGCATCCCAATATTCATCTTTCATCTTTCCATGGCAAAGCGTGTTTCTATAAGTTTCTTGCTTTTCTACAAGGTAATAATAAAAAAATAAAGCTAAACTGAAAAAAAGAGCTCAAGTAGCAAGCATTATATGTATATATATAGTGGCGCATAATACTCTCTTTGGTAAATACAATTAAGGTATTCACATGCATGAGCATATATATATATGCATATATATATATATAAGTCCATATATATATAGGATTGAAGTGCCTTTTGTAGGTTAGCAAATTATGGAGTTGAATTGAACATGATGGAGGCCTTATGCCAATCAAAAAGCAAAACCTCAACGTGATGGTTTATTCCCTTACAAGCTTGGAACTTTCCACGGTAAGAATAGTTACCCATAATGTATGTTTTAAAAAGTTAAATCCAAACAAAATTACATCAAAATGCTAAAAAGAAAATGCAAAATTGAGAGAATTTGATACAAATCTGACGTATAAAAACAAGGCCTTATCAAGTCTGTTGTAAAATTCTCTAAAAACTTAGCCAGAAAGTGTTTTGAAGAGGGTTACTAAATTCCGCAAGCAGAGTTCTTCAAAGAGGAATATCACCACCTCAAAAGAAATCGAAAAACAAAATGCAAATATTTCCGTGGTAGCTGATCATTATTGTTATTATTATTATTATTATTATTGCTAAGTAGAATCATTAATTAATTGCACTCTTGGAATTATTACATAATAAAGGGATTTTTTTCCCCATATTCACTCTTCTCCTTGGTTTTGTTTTTTTTTTTTTTTCTCCTCTCTTTTTCCTTCTTTGTTTTTGGTGTATTTGGATGCATGATTTAGGCTGGTTTCACCGTTCACGATAAAAAATCTTCTGGTTTAGCACACAGGGCGTGAATTTGTTGCCAAGCAAGATCAAAATTGCTCAGATTGTTGTTTAGAAGGCAGTAGAGCAAAAGAGAGAGAATGAAACTAACGATTAAGGTAAGATTTTTCTCTGAGTGTACTTCAACTTTAGGCTTCATAATTTTAATTTGCAACGATGCATATAGATATAGGGATAGTTTGCATATATACCACAAACAAATACAGAAACACAGGTAGATACAAATACGTAGTATTTATTTATTTATTTATATACGTCTACATAGTTTTTACACGAATATATTACTAATTTACTTGTTTTACTACATGGCACCACCACAACACATGAATTAATAACTCTTGCCGTTTATGCATAGAAATTTTGTTTCCTTTCACATCATGTTCTTTTAGTAATGCTTCCAAAGATCATGAATCTCCCCTTGCATTATCAAAACATTGTGTTTAAATCAAACAAGAGGAGCTTAACATTGGACAAAATATAGTAGCCGATATCGGATCATTGCAAACACCAAAATCGACTGAGATCAGGTACTCCGACCGACACCGCCTCGTGGGGCGGTCGGAGGCTGTGGTTCTTCCATTGCGAGAAGCCGAGAAGTACCAAAATGAACTACATTTGCACAAGTCTTGCCCCTACAAGGAAAATGAAAGAAAAAGGAAAATGAAAGGATTTTAGGCCGTGTTTGTTTAGGATTTGATGCTAGCTAGGTGTGTTCATGTCTATGATTATGAACATCAGAAAACCCATGTATGTTTGGAGATGAGGATTAGAAAGGTACTTTAGGAATTTAAAACATTTTTCCCTACTTGTTTCAAGCCAACATATCACTAGTAACATTGAAACAATTACTAAAATATAAAATAATAATGATAATAATAACAATAATAATGAATTATGTAATTTTTCTAGTCAATTATTTGTGCCTTATTTGGAAGGACACGGAAACAGGTTAGACCAAGTAAAGAAATGAGATTTGTATGCTAGGATGTTAAAAAGACCTTATTGGTAAAAAAGAAAAAAAACTGCCAAATCTATTACATGTCCATTAGTTTTGCATATATATTTTTTTAATATAATTTTAATCAAATTTAACGTTTAAAAACATACCATGAGTCAGTAAAAAGCTTTGTTTAGAAGACAATTTCTGGTCTTTTTTTTTTTTCTTTTTTAGTATTATTACAGCACTGTACTCCTTCACCTTGAGGAAAAGTAAGTTACCTACGTTGATCTGTCCACAAGGGTACTTTAGTAATTTTCGAACAATAAAGTCCCCTCACTGCAATGAGATGGCGTTCTAGGAGTGGTACAGTACATGTAAAAGGAAAACAGGGTTTTCCATTGCTGACACAAACATTGAAAAGCATGCCCCATTATTAGTCTAGGGAAGGATCTTCCAAATTCATTGGAGAATCTATTCGCTGTTCATTATGCAGTTTCCTTTGTAACACAGAGTTTTTAGAGGGAGGGAGGGGGAGAGAGAGAGAGAGAGAGAGAGAGAGAGAGAGAGAGAGAGAGAGACCAAATTGCACTTTTCACTTGGTGATTATACTAAAGGCTGTCAAAGCTGCGATTCTGAGAAAAACAATGCTCCCACAATCCCTTTGGTCAATCTTCTGTTGGGTTTCTTGCGTTTCCCCAATTCATTCACACAGATAGGTATTTATGTCCCCCCAAAAAAAAAAAAAAATTCAAGTTCCATGGTTCTCTGGTTCTCTCTTTTATGAGTTTTGTTTTGTGTTGTCTTGCTTTTATTAAACATGGGTTTTTCATTTTTGGTTTTCCCTTCAATAAGATGACTTTTTTTTTTGGTTTCTTTGTTTCTCACTTTTCAGTGATGGGTAATGCTAGCGGTGGAAATGATGGAGAAGGTCCTTCTGGGACTAAAAAGTTAGAAGGAAATTATGGAGGGGTGTATTTAGAAACGTCACCATCAGATCATGGTGTGTTTTCAGAACCCATGGAAGCTCACCCTCCTCCTAACAGTCCTAGGTCATACCAGTCAAATCTCTTATTTGCTCCTCATCATGTGAGTTTTTCTTTAGAATCCACTTGTTGGATGTTTCAGTCAGATTTTCTTATTTGACTTAAAGAGTGTTTAGCAGAAATGGGATTTTCATTTTGGAAAATTGTGACTAGTCACTTTGGAAATTGGCATGATGTTCAAAGGAAAAAAAGACAATCCTTGAAGTGTAATTCCATTTACATTGCATTTGTATGCCTCTCTCAAAAAGCTATTATTATTCACTTTATTGTAATTCTATCTTCAGGACCTTAGAGTACCTCTTCAAAGACATGAAGGGCTAATCCAATCCCTTCAACACTCAATGAGCAATCATGTTATATCGAATAATATGCATTCGAGTCGGGTAAAGCTCTCTTGGGATAATGGTGGCAAGCAAGTTGCTGTCACCGGATCATGGGACAACTGGGAAACTAGGTATATCTAACTCTTTCAAGTGTTTTCACATTTTAAGTTCCCAACTCCTGTAATTTTCGCTGCTTGGCGCTGTAATTTGATATCGAAAGTGCATCGATCTTTCAGAGAGCTCTTGCAGCGCACAGGTAATGGCGGTTTCTATATCATAAAGTTGCTGCCGCCCGGTGAATACCGGTACCTATTTATAGTAGATGGCTATTTGAGGTGTGCCCCTGACTTGCCATGGATCTGTGATGGTTCAGGGAATGCTTACAATGTTTTGGATTTGCAGGTAAATTTTGTTACTTTTATTGTGTTCAATTGTTCATCACTCATGTATAATAGCAGCATGTTTTCTTCAATTGCCCTCTCATCTCTTTTTTTATCCTCACTTGACTATTTGCATAATCAAAATTTAAAAATAAAAAATAAAATACAAAAAAAATTTGAAGCCCAGAGTATAACAGCGATTTAAAACGGGCTATTGGAGGTTTTACTAAGCTGTCTCTCTCCTAAACTCATTATTTGCGGAAGTTTCTCTCTTTTCCTTTAATACAATACATATCAAGTACAATATACAAGATACTTCTTGAGACATACACATTGTATCTCTGTTATTCTGATAATCTCTTTTTTAAGTTATATTAAGCATATTGAAAAGCTAATAGCTTATAGTTATGTGGTTGGATTATCATAACAAGGCAGATTTCATGAAACAGGTTTTCCTTGTGAAACTGGTTTTAGTACTTAGGAGCACTATTTCTTTCAGTGTCATTTTCGATTCATCTTTTCCCGGTAGTTTTGCTTGCGTATCGGCACTTCGTTAGCAATTAACTTGAGAGAACCTGAATTTCAAATTTATCTGTAGGCAATATTGGACTGCCTTTTGAGTGTTTTGTAGTCGATTAAAATTATGATTTATGATATTTTTATGAATTTTCTTTAATTTTATGATTCTTTTTTCTTTCTTTTTCATTTGAGGCTTACGTCTCAATCCGCCTCAAGGCTTACGCCTTGCCTCGATTAGACAAAATGCTTAACCTTGCATTGGACATATATAGCAGATAGCTCATAGCACATCCCATTATCAACATATCTGAGAGATCAATGCTGATTGAGTTTGAAAGTTTATGTAACTGGACCTAATTCCACAGATTCTTTTGGGCCTTTAACCTTCTACTGAAGGAGAAGGATGAAGGGCTTTAATACCTTACTTTCCAACTTCCAGTGTCAATGAAAAAACCATGTCTATATAAACCTGTCAATCATAAACTTTACATTATTCAAAAGGTTTACACATATTGTAAGGTGTTGTACTGCAGCATTGTATAGATATCATCTTTGCTAGTCATTGTTGTGTTCAATTCATAAAAATAGATACATGGGGTTTGTTTTTTATGCAGAAATGTGATTCAGAATTGCCTGAAAGCCTATGGGATTTCGAATCTCCATCATCCCCTCCTTCGAGCTACGACAACAAGTACTTAAATGAAGATGATTTTAGTAAGCCGCCACCGGAAACGCCACCTCAACTGCAAGCTTCAATTCTTAATGAACCATCGTACTCCAATGATGCTCAACCTCAACCTTTGACACAATCTCAACGCTCAGAGTTGAACCATTTGTACATTCAGGACCATATCGAAGGTCAGTTCGTAGCACTTGGCTCCACTCGTAGGTTTCGCCAAAAATATGTAACAATGGTGTTGTACAAGCCGATTAGAAGAACAAATTAAACTTGGTTTTCCTCATCTTTATTGTGGGAGCCAAAGCTGATAATGATATTTAAGAAGGTTGGTTGTGGATTTAAAGCTAAAAAATAAAAATAAAAAATAAAAAAAAAGCTGTTATTTGTAAGTAGTAGTAGGACTTTTTGGCTATATAAGCAGTAATGCAACCCTTATTCATAAGATCTGCAACACCATTCATTTTCTAGTGAGAAGCTTATGGTAGAGAAGTCCCTTTTTCCTACTTATCTGAATCTATATTAACTAGATTATTTGGCTCATCTAATGACAGGGAAAACAAAAAGAATAATAATATTAAATATAATACTACTGTTGACCGCTTAAACTTTTGGGATAGATAGTTAAAATAACATGATGTCAAAGCAGCAGATCTTAGAGTTCAATCCACTTATTTTCAATTTCGTAACCAATAACGTGTGAGCATATTATCTACTTTGCATTTGCATTTGTATTCACCCCCGCTTTTGAAGGGGCTCATTCCTGGATACTTTTTTTGGGCTAGACCCGCAAGTAAAGGGGAAGTATAACAATATAATCCTATTGTTGATCTCATTCCTTTCCATTGACTCATCTTAATACTTAGTTTGACGTAGCCCACGCGTGAAGGGGAATTGTACTAATAAAATTATATTTATTAAGAGTAAGGGATAAAAATTCAAACTCATAATACTCTGTTAAGGGTAAATTTTCTATTTTTTCAATTGTAATATTATTATAAATTCACTTCTTAACCGCTTAAACTTTCAGATGGATTGATAATTATTAACAAGTAAATTCCAATAATATCTACCTTTCTTCTCTCTTCTACTACCCTCATATCCATTTATGATCAAACTATAGCTGTTGAATCACATACCAGAAAAAAGTAGACTGTAATCAAGTATGATTCATATACATATGAGAAAGAGAAACTGATACAGAGATATATGAGACAAATGTGTAAGGGGGAAAAAGGAAAGAAAAAGCCATTTGAGAGATCAAATGGTGGCAATTAAGGTGGTTATTACTGGATATGTTCAAGTAAATAACTCATTGCTAGTTCTGCTCTTTTCTTCATGCCTCGGTTGGAACCAAACCAAATCATCGAACAGGTACTTTAATCCAACCATTTGCAAAGGCAATGGCTAAGATCACAAAAGGAGTTGACATCCCAAATATGATTATGTAAGGAAGTGGGGTTTTCATTGGATTCTCCCCTTCCCTTTCTCCCGCCGTTTGCCAATACCTGCAATTGGCCAAAAACCAACTTTGCATAAATGACAAATCTAGAACAAGCACGCACATATTTACACAAATGATTTACTATTTACACACATATATGTGCACAGATTTTCAATAATTATGCTTCTGTACGCGGTTTTTATTAAATATAAAAATTTAATAACGTGGTTTGATAAGAATTTAATTTTATTAATTTTCATAATTATTTTAATCAACAATCAAATTTATTATAACCCTCAAGTCATTATCTTTTAGTTAAAATTATTTGTTTGTTTCTTTTTTCAATTGCCTTTGCTCAGGTTTATTTTTATTTTTTGCTTTCTTTCTTAAAATCATATATTTTCAACGTCATTCATCAAAATACTTTTTTCTTTTAATTTTTTTCCACTAAAATAATTTTTCTGAAATGTCCTTTGCTTAAAATATTATCCTTCAATATACTTTGTTTAACATGTAATTTATACCATATGTTTTCTTTTCTACCCTCCTATTTTATTTCTTTACACTTCCTCTTTACTAATTTGTACGAAAAGCTTTACTTCCTCTTAAAGATTTTGTGAATTTCAATAACTGACAATTAAAGCATTGAGGTGTATACAAATTTAATTATTGATTGTATCTTTTAGAAATAAATAACAATTTAGTTATTATAAATTTTAAGCGAAAATACAAAACAGTTCGTGTTTTATTTTTAAAAGCTTCGTTTTCTTTTTGATTCGTTGCCTATCGTTTTACTAACATAAATGTCCCGTTTATTTTACTGATTTAAGTTTAGAATTTGAGTTTTGTTACAGTAAAATTTTTTTAAAAACAATCATATTTAACTTTTTTATTACAGTAAAAAACTCTCACATCAAATTACATCTTTAACTCAAATTAAAAATTTGAATCAGCGAACTAAACAAGCCTTTAGTATTAAAAAAATGATAAAATAGAACAAATCAAACTAGCCAAACCAATGTTAGGCACCGACAAAGATGTAAGAAACTGATAACCAAATTGGAAGGCTAAGCGCCTAGCTTACTGTTCTGGCTCTTCTTCTCTAGTTATAAATTTCCTCTTCCCTCCTTTCTTGATTTCTCCATCTCCACCACCTAAAACCATTAAAACCAACACCAATTCAGAATTGCAGGGCATGTTCTTTTTCCAAAAAATTTAAAAAAAGATAACTCGAGTTTCAACTTTATTCAAGTTCACGTTCTTTTAAATTTTAACTTTATTTAACTTTACTCAACTTTATTGAAGTTACAACTTCAACTCAAGTTACACTCTAAAAGAATAACCCCGCAATCTCAACCTCACTTGGCCCAAACTTTAAAGCAAAACCCAAATTGTAAAAATGCAAAATTGGTTGAAAAAAACAAAAGCCAAAGTACCTCTAAATTTGAATGGAAATCATGTCAAAATGACTACATATACATTATTACCTAGTTGGGCATGAATTTTGAAGCAACTCTTTACTGATCTCCTCTTTGGTGAAATGGTCGAGTGAGGAAGAGGAGGAAGGCGAGAGAAGCGAGATGGGAGTGGGAATTTGGTGGTGGGAGAAGAATAGAGACCCAACCTGGCTGCCATTTTTATGGGATCTGAAGTCTCTCTTTACCCATGACTTGACCCATCAAATATATGTCAGTTGTTTTGGATATATGGATGTGGTGGAGGACTGGAGTAGAGCTGCTGATTTTTGGTCTTTTGGATTCCAACCTTATCCATTCAACTCATGACAAATATGCCCCCAAAACCCTTTTCCTTTTTGATATTTTGTGGGGATTAGGAACAGAAATTCATTTTATGTTGGAACTTCAACAGAAAGAACTGTTTTTTTCTCACTACTAATAAAAAACATATATATCATTTTTAACTGTTTAATTAACTTTTCAACAGCATCATTTGTGAGTGTCACATGACCTCGTTCGTTTCGCTGATTCGAATTTAGAATTTGAGTTTTGTTACAGTAAAAAGCTCTCACAAACAATCACATCTAACTTTTTTACTACAGTAAAAAGTTTTCACATATAATTACATCTCAATTCAAATTCTAAACTCGAATTATCGAAACGAACGAGGCATATTAACAATTTGTAGTGTGTGAAGTTAAAATGGTACCTACAATAGATGACGTAGAATTGGTGTCTATGGTCCGACAAGTGGGACGATCCAACAATCGTATTACGTAAAAATAAAATTTAACCTGATATTTATTTAATATAATAGGAATATTATTTAAAATAACATGATTTATTTAATGCAACACGAATATTAAAAAGACGTAACATTAAACAATTCAACTATCCGGACTATTATTGCACTTTGATTTATTGCATATAAATCACCTATCTGACAATCCTACAACATTCAATCAGCCCGAGACACTTGTTGATGGACTTACTCTTTGGTTGGACTGTAGCCTTCCCTTAAAATAAGTTATCAATATTATGTGGCCTAAAAATGTAAACGTCCGTTTGGTTCGTTTGATTCATTGGTATAAATTGTGTTGATTTAAATTTTTTAATTTAAATAAAAAAATCTAAATAATGTGTTTTAAACAGTAGTCTTTACTGGTGTTTGATTGTGCTTTTAAAGTTTTAATTTAAACAAAAAATATAATCTAAATTAATGTTTGTATTGAAAACAATTTTAATTGGATAGCAAATTTTTAATTACTATTTTTTTTTTAATGATCCTATAACTCAGCCTAAAATTTGGTATTTTATATAAGAAAGAAAAAAAATGGAGAGAATCGAATATCTGAGCTAAGAGAATAGAGTAGAAACATTGTACAATATTGGTGTCAATAGCAGAACTTGGGCGGGAGTTAGGCTGTTCAGTTTAAACTGCTCATTCAATTCCCATTAAACACCTTGCCAAACGCATATTTGATTTGCGAGGCCGATCGGAATGGGCTGAACAGAACATAACTGCAACAAACGATATTTTATATATAACATATATATATATATATATATATATGTATGTATTCTCTTTTTGTAACAAGACCATCTTAAAAGCAATGTTTGACTTGCATTAAGTAATTAGGTCTCGTTAATTTCACCGATTTAAATTTTTAATTTTAAATTTTTATAATTAAAAATTCTTAAAAAATATCAAATCTCAATTTTAATTGAAAACTTAAATATCCCAAGAAGTGGATGCTAATGATTAAACCAAAAGAAAGGTCATGAAAATTGCCAACTCCAAAATTCTCTCCCCTTTTCTTTTCTAGAGCTAGAAGAAACTTATTTCAAGTTTCAACTCTCTAACAAATATTTCTTCTTTTAGACTATCCAAAAAGACATAAGAAGGAAAAAACAAAACTATTTATTATTTTAATCATTTCTCAACTATGAGAACCAACGAAGGAGAAATTTTCAATTTTAAAGCAATAAATATACTGAAATCATGTATTTTTTTCCACAAAGTTTTGAATGTTAATTCAAGTCATCTGGTTTGAACCATAAACCAAAAGGCTCTAAAACAATACGAACTACTGGAAATTAAAAGAGTAATTGAAACAAATAGTCTCTCAAATTTGATTATAATGACATTATTGTCTCTGAACTTTTAATTTTAACTAATTAATCCATCAAGTTTGATTTTTGACAGCCTTGGTCTCTAATCAACTGAAATTTGATAAAGATAATCACTTGTATAATAATTGAAAATTTTATATAAATAGTTATTGTGTCTGTAAAATGTTACAGCTTTCAATAATTGAAAATTTTATATAAATAGTTAATGTGTGTGTAAAATGTTACAGTTTTCAACATGTGTTAGCAATAATAAAGACAAAGTTTTACATATAATGTAATTCTTTGTTTAAAATTTTAAGTTCTCAAGCTTTAGGGTGGGTTTGGTATTGATTCTAGGAGAGAAAAAGCACTTTTTCACACATCTAAAATCTAAAAAGTTGTTTGGTAAAACAGATTGTTGAATAATTTTCTTCCAATCTGAAGTTAAAAGCAGAATCAGCCTTAAGGCTGATTCTGATGTTAGATTATACGGGAATTTATTTTGAGGTTTTAATGAAATTTTCTATTTCCAATTTTACCCTCAATGAAAGTTAAAATTTACCACATCCAAAACACATTTTCATTTCATCTCCCCCGACTCTCTTCCGCTCACCTCCTCTCCGGAATCACTCTCGTCCCCTGCAAAAAAAAATTCTTGTGCGTTCTATCCTCTCCCCTCTTCTCCGTTTGAGATTTGGTCTCTCTCTCCGTTCGCCGGTCTCTCTCCGTTCGCCTGTCGGAGCTCGGTTGGTTTCTCCTCCGCGTGATTGTCCGTTTGCAGGTCGCCCATCTCCTCCGACGACGACTGCCCGTCTATCATCATCAATTCAAGAGGTAAACCTCTCTAACCGTGCGAAATTTTTTGGTCTGAACATTTGGATTTCGTTTTGATTTTTATTCCGCCTGTATTTTGGGTTTTAGGGATTTGATTTTTTGCAATCAAAGAAAACGATCGAGCATCTCCTCCGATTGTTGAAAGTCGGTTTGCCGGTATCCGATCTCCTCCTCCGATTGCCCATCACCAGATCAAGAGGTAAGCCTTGAAATGGGCCTGATTGCTACTCCGATTTTTAGTGTGATTTCTCCTCCGAATTTTAGATTGGGTCTGATTTGTGCGGAAATGGGTTTACGGTTTTGATTTTCTATAAATTTTGTACATTGTTGAATCAGCATCAACGGGAATTGCAATGGGCCACTAACAGAAATAGCATCAACGGGAAAAAAAAAATTAAGTTTATGCTTGTTTTAGCACAAATACTTGCACATTGTTGAAAGTTCCTCTGTGTGCTCGGGAATTGATTGTTTTAGCACTCATATGTTAAGTTAAAGCATTTTGTATAAAGCTTGGCTGATGCATATGCTTGAATTGAGTAATGTATTTCTAAATTGGGTCTGATGCATATACTTGCACATTGCTAATGCATATGCTTTCTGTGTAATGTACATTTTGTACTCATTGTTCTCGTTTGTTGTTATTTGCTCTTGTTGTTCGTTCCACATATGTGACATTACCCTCCTATGTCGTTTGTTGTCCATATGTGACATTAGCACTCATATGTCGTTTGTTGTTGTTTGCTGTCGTTTGTTGACATGGAATGCATCCAAAGTTGTGTTTCTAGATGCATTCGATGTATCTCTCATTGTAACACAAGGAATATAGTCTGCATGGTTTTCATACTTCAGATCCTTTTTCTTTATCTAGATACTTGTTTAATTCTTTTCTGCTTTTGTTTTTCTCCGCTACTTGCTAAATGGAAAAGAGAATTCCAATTTATATAAGTTATTGTGGGAAGGGAATGTTCAAAGGAAAGGAGTTTCTCGTTGTCAAACGAATCACTTTTAAAAGCATATAATTATTACCTTCAATCGTCAATTTCTTCATATTCTTTTCCCACTTATTTGTATTAACACTGCCAGGTTCTCCGGAGCAATTGATGCTCTCGTTTCCTTTCTTTTTTAACGTTAAATTAATCTTGTTTACCTTGAATTTCCTTGTAATTAGGCTCAAATTATATGTCTTAACTCAACATTGGTATCTATTGAGCTTTCAATTTTGTTCAGTTCATACTTTTGTTTTGTATTGTAAGAGAGTTTTATGACAGGGTATATATGAAAAAAAAAAAACTCTATTATTAGGATAATTATAAGGAAGCGTCAGATTTTCATCAAATTATCTCATAAGAATTAAGAGAAAGTGATCATTAGGCACAATTGTTGTAAATCGAATTAGCATTCTATTCTTGATTAGCAATTTTTAGGTGAAGTATCTAGGAGTAGAAGCTATGATTAGCTTGGCTATTGAGTGAGTGTTTGAATTGGAAATAAGGTTAGTATTACCCTTATTATTGTTTTTGTAAATAAAAGCATGAAGCCTCACATTGTTTTAGACTTTCAGTTATCAATTCTCAAATGGAGGGTAGTATACCACAAGGTAAAGCAATATGGGACCCCGAGACTGTGGATGTGTTTTGTGATTTGTGTATTATAGAGGTGGAAGCTGGACGCCGTCCTGGAACTCATTTGGATAAAGTTGGATGGGAAAATTTAATTCAAAAATTTAATGAAGCAACCAAACGAGTATATAAAAGACAACAATTGAAGAATAAATGGGATGCTTTGAAGAATGATTGGAAGCTTTGGAAGGAACTTATTGGTAAAGAAACTGGTCTAGGTTGGAACATTAAGAAGAATACTATTGATGCATCTGAGGAGTGGTGGCATAATAAATTGCAGGTATACAGAATTATAGGATTTGTCATTCTTTATTCTAGTATTGGACTAGGCAGGTTTAATTTTTTCAAATGCTCTTGCAGATTCATCCCAACGCAGCGAGGTTTCGCACTCGGGGAATTGAACCACTGTTAGAAGAAAAGTTAAATAGGATGTTCATGAATACTGTGGCCACAGGAGTGTATGCTTGGACACCATCTTCTGGACAAGTGCCATGTGAGTCTGATAAAGGTGAAAATGATAAATCTAGTCTACCTGAACAACTTGAGAGTAGTGGTGAGTCAGGTGAACCAATCCGAAGTGAATTGGCACAAGCCCGTAAGAATAAGAGGCCAATTGAGAGAGATGAGAGACAAAATAAAGTCAAGAAAGGAAAAGGAAATGTGAAGGTTGGAGGGGCTGCTAAATTGTCTCAACAAATTGATCGCCTTGTCGATATAGTTGAGAGTAGAAGTACTGGATCATCGATTGCGCCATCTGACACTGGAAACTGTAGCATGGCAAAAGTTGTTGAAGTTCTAGATTCATTACCAGGATTACAAACTGGAAGCGAGTTGTATTTCTTTTCGGTTCACTTGTTGTTAGACAAGTGTAAGAGAGACGCATTTATGGCTTTTAAGGAACCTGAGGTGAAGCTCAATTGGCTTAAGTTTGAACATGGGCTAGGATCCTCCACTTAGATTTCCATTCCTCATTTCCTTTTAGTGCGGTTTTCTTGTTGTATTTTAGGTTGAGACATTGTTATTCTCTTTCAGTTTGGTCTTTTTCTTGTATTCATGTTGGAGACATTGTTATTTTTTTTCAGTGTGGTTTTATTACTTTATGTTTAAGACATAATAATATGTGGTCCCTTTGAGGTGTGCCGGCCTTTGCATGCCAATCCTATTTTTTTTTCACTTTATTGTTGTTGCTAAAGATGGCTGACAATGGTGATGAGTTTACAAATTTCACCAATTTGAATGACAGGTTTATTGTTGTTGCTAAAGATGGCTGACAATGGTGATGAGTTTACAAATTTCACCAATTTGAATGACAGGTTTATTGTTGTTGCTAAAGATGGCTGACAATGGTGATGAGTTTACAAATTTCACCAATTTGAATGACAGGTTTATTGTTGTTGCTAAAGATGGCTGACAATGGTGATGAGTTT